TGCACTTCAAAAGGGATATGGCTAACCTTGAGAGGGTCCAGAGGAGGGCCACTCGCATGGTCAGGGGGCAGCAGGCCAGGCCCTACAAAGATAGACTAAAGGGCCTGAATCTATTCAGCCTCCACAAGAGAAGACTGAGAGGGAATCTGGTGGCCTTCTATAAACTCACCAGGGGGGACCAGCAGAAAATAGGTGAGGCTCTGTTCCCCTGGGCACCACCTGGGATAACAAGGAATAATAGCCACAAATTGATTGACAGCAGGTTCAGGCTTGATATCAGGAGGCATTACTTTATGGTTAGGGCTGCCAGGCTCTGGAATGGGCTCCCAAGGGAGGTAGTACTCTCTCCTACCGTGGGGGTCTTCAAGAGGAGGTTGGATAGATATCTGGCTGGGGTATTATGATCCCAGCACTCATTCCTGCCCAGGGCAGGGGGTCAGACTTGATGATCTGTTCAGGTCCCTTCCAACCTTAGAAACCATGAAACTATGAAACAACTTCTCATCCAAAGACCTGAAATTACTTCAAACACTTCCTTAAGATACTGCAACACTTCACTTGAGTTCCAGGTCACCATCCCCTTTGTAGATGCAGAAACTGAGGCTTAGAATACATAACTCACCAAAAAGTGAAACCAGTCAGTGGAAGCACTGGCAAGGGCACTCTTGACTTCCATTTCCTTCCGTGAGCTGCTGAGCACAAGGCCCTCTGGTGCTTTACAAGTTTTTAATGGTGCCCCTGATCTTTTTCCTTCTTAGGACTCAGGGCAGAATGGGACTCACCATAACATTCCACAGCTACTGGGACCAGCCCACACTTCCCAGCAATGTAGGCATGTGTTGCATCCAGTGTAACCGCATCAGCCTCATTACTCTGCCGACATCATCAAAGAAAGAGACATATGGTGATAATATACTACTTCCATAGCTGGCATAACCAAATGGCTGTTTACTGCCCATCTGGCTAGGAGGTCTCTTGTGCCCCTCTGTCTCATTTTGTGGAGTGTCTCCTGCTGGTGGGTTTATCCATAGTAACCTATTTCCCCCACTCCCAGTTTAAGACAAGGATAGATGTGCCTCAGTCCTGTTTTCATTTACACCACCCTCATCTAGATTCTCACCTTGATCATCTCAATGCAGTTGGTCATTGAAGTTGCTTGGACACAAACCAGAGGGTCAGATTTGATGTTCAGGGCCCATTCCTCACATTTGTGGAGCTCAGCATAGCTAATACAGCACCAGCGCACCACACTGTTGTCCAGGGAACTTCCTGTAACAGCAGAGAAGAGCAATGGGAGGTGAGTGTCATCTATACACTGTAAAATCTCTTTCCTAATCAACTTCCTTGTGCACTTCTCTCCTTTGTGATGTAGGAGCCACTTTTTCCCCTTCCCTTTCTGTTCCCTGACAGTGCTCACCTTCATGACCCAGTCCCTTCAGGAGGGCTACGTAGTCCAAGCCAAGGATGTGGGCAATCTCTGCTTGATCCTCAAGGAGCTGCAGGTGCTGAGTGGCATCACGGAACAGCAGGTTCTTGCCCCTGAATGGCGCTGAAGAGAAAAGCTCAAACCTGGCCCTTTGCTTTCCTTTCTGCCCAAAGAGGTGCTGTGGGAAGTACAGTGCCTTTAGCTGTAGCAATGCTGTTCTTCCTTTGTGACTGGCACCCTCCAATATCTTGTTTTCTTTAGAATCATGTCATGCCCGCTTGCATTCGGGCAAAGCCCATATGAATCAGAGTTTGTCTTAGGATGATGGTTTCCCTCCCTAAAAGCCTGGGAAAACTTTTAATCGTGAACAGAACTTGTTCTGATAAAAGCACAAGCTGCTTTTATATATTAGATCAAAATCCCGTTAGAAAAGGTTGCAAATTATATACTCAGGTCATCATTCATTGCTAGTAAAAAGTCTAGAATATCTTCCTAGATCCTAAGGAGGCTATCAACCACATCATTTGGTATGACTACTTACTATATTAGCTTGGAGATTTTTATCACTTGAACGGGCTAATTATTGAGCCAATGTTAGAGCAAGTTGAGGCTGCCACTATCTTTAATTAGCCTTGGTAATATACTTATTCCTTTATACTAAAATCTGTAAAAAGTGTGAACAACTAGTTTATTTCATTAAATTACAACATGGATCATGAAGTTTGAGGGAAGAGTATAAAAATGTGCCATCTGCTTAGCTCTCCTTCCAAATTAGTTGCTTGTCTCTGCTTCCCAAATCTTTCCCTCAGTGGACCTCTTTTTTTTACTGCAGCTGCCTATGTAAGTAAAGGAGCTGGAAACAGCTTCTCCCCTACCCACCATGTTATATTATTTCCCCTCAGAGGCAGCACTGGAACTGGCAAGAAGATGCCCTTCTTCAGATAAAAGGAGTTTGCTATTTATTACTCAATATTTAAAAACTGATTGGGCCCAGAGGTCCAAATCAGTATAAAGTTGTACTATATGCTGTACAAAAAGCATACCCTCTCCTAGACACTTTTTGTCTAAAGATCCTGACGCATAGTATAAGTCAATGGAGGGATGTATAGAGATTAGAGCTCTCTAGATTTACATTAAACTAAATTGTAACAGAGAGAACTCTTCACCCTTGCCTTATGCCCACTATCTCCAACAGCGTACTAGTTCAAATGTCATTTTTTTCTTGGGTAGCCTTGGGAATTCCCACCCTAGTGCCTATTGTAGCAGATGACACCACCGGCCCTAAGAGTAGCCTCTACATCTGCAGTCCCGCTTATTACATCGATACCCAGAGTGGAGTGGTCAAGTCTGGGAAGCTCAACTTGCCTCCAACTTACCTGGATCAAGGTGAGAAATTTCTTGGTAATCTTCTGGAAGTTGTGGCGGCTGATGATGGCATGGCCAGGCCCATGACCCAGGTTACAGGTGCTGTATGCCCTTAGCTCAGCTGTGGTTCCATCAGGACACAAGAGCTCGTATTCCTCTTGGTCTGACTCTAAAATAACATGACACCCTCTGAAACTGAAGTGAAGGGTATTGATGCAGCATATTTTCAGGGAAGCCTGCTCAGAGTCTCAGGTCCTGGCAGGGCAGTGAATGCCAAGTGGAAGAGGTTTCTGTCTGATATGCTGCTCCCCTTTACCAAGGAAAGGGATGTTCGTGCAGAAGGGCCTGGACTGGAGAAGTTCTTCAGTATGTTCTGAGAAACACTCATTCAAAGACACAGGCTTAAAGAGAATTGTACAGAAACACTGATTCTGTATTGCAAAGTTTTGGTTGGGTAAAACCCCTGGTATATGGGACCTCTTACTCTAAATCATGGGCCCTATGAAAATGAAAAAGGCCTGATGATCTGTTGTCAGCCATATGGTAACCACTGGTTTAGGGAGCTGAGAGCTAAGGAAATCACCTATGTGAAAGACTGGTGATTCTAAAGACAAGAGGCTCCTTTGAGCAACTTATTCAACTCTGATTTGTTTGGAGATCTGAGGAATAAGAACTGCTTGCAGAGACTGAACTCAAACTGGAATAAAAACAATATATCAGGCATCACCAAGCTTCCATGCAGGAAGAAGTGCTCAATGCAGGGAAACACAAATCAGGTTTACCTGTGGCATTCATTATCTCCAAGTGATCTAGGAAAGCAACGTCTGCAGCCCCACTCTTCAAACACCTGAAGCAAGATTAACACCAAGCCATAAACACTCAAGGGTGTTTTGCCCCTCCCAGCAACCCTTCCCTCAAGTGTACTGCAAGGATGTGAGGGTCACCTGAAGGCTCCTTCAGAGTCATAGAAGGGCTCATTGCTGCTGGTCTCACAGAAGTGGTTCTTGTCCCTGACGTAAGATTTCTGGCCTTGGCAAAGAGCACAGAGCTGAGGGGAGGTAACTCCAATGCCTGGGATGCAGCTGGCATTGAAATACCCACTGATCGCTGGGAACATAAGAAAAACGGTCAGACAGAAAACGCAGGAAAAGATACTGTAACAGGGACCAATCTGAATGCAGGCATAGTCAGTGCCCAAGCTACTTGTTAAAACCAGAAGAATGTCCTTGGCTGTGGAAACTTGAGATTTTAAAATGCTCCTGGTCAGCTATTCTCCAATACTTGCTGATGCTGCTGTAGCAAAATGCTGCCCTCCTTGTTTCACACAGAACAGGAATTTCCTATTGTTCTTGCTAACAGTTGTTCTCTTCAAAGAGATCATAAAAGGCTCTGGCAGGAATGTTAAACAGCAAGTGGCTAAGCTGTGGGTGCAGAGCCCAAAGCTTCTGCACTTTCATGTGTACCATATAGCTCTGTAGGTGTTGCACCTCCTACCATTTTGTTCATCTTTATCAATGCAGAAACTTGGCCCTGGGATATCTGCCAATGTTCATTCACCCACCTTGGCTCAAAGGCTGCTCCTTATCCCAGAAGAGGTCATTCCTAGCCAGGAGGAAGCCTAGTGGGATATTCCAGCCTGATGTCCATCTGGCTCCATTGTGGCAGCTTTGCACTCCTCTGAGCTTCTGAATGTCCAAAGTTCCTTTTCTGGCAATGGCCACAGCAAACACACAGCTTCCTAATGGTAAGAAAGCGAAAATGCAGGAAGAACAATAATTTGTAATAAAGGTCTGATCACAGCCACAGTGTGAGCAGTCCTTTGAGCAGAGCTAAGGAAATTCTCAAATAAAATGCCTGAAGTACTGTTAATCAGAAGAAGAGGAACACTGTATTGGTTACCCCAGTGCACAGTTTGGGCAAAATGTTACACAACCAAGGACTAGCAACATGTGAAGCAAGGAATACTGAAGTTAGAGGTTAAATGTTATAAGAATATGTAAAGTGGACAGATTACTTTACACATCTTGCATACAACACTCCTGTTTATACATCCTAATAAAACATTTACTCTGTTTGCAACAGTATTACATTTTTGACTCACATTCATATTGTTATCCATTATAAGCCCAGAACCTTTTTATTTGCAGAACTCCCATCTAGCTAGTTGGTCTCCATTTTGCATCTGCATTCTCATTACTTCTACTTATGTGTAGTACTTTTCACTTGTGCTTTTTAACTAGCACCCTATTTACCCACTTTTCTCACATATAACGCTCACCTTTTCCAAAAACAGCTGTTGAAAATTGGAGTGTGCATTATATGTGAGAAATACAGTAAAGAGCAATTTCTCCTGCTTACAGAACAAAAGCTAAAAGGAGACAGCAGACAGATGAAAGACATGTAAGAATCTATATCAAACAAAACACCTTCTTACTTCACTTTGTCAATATATTTTGTCTAGAGGTGCACCGATACATTGGTCCAATATCAGATCAGCACCGATATAAAGAAAATTGACTTAATTGGAAATTGGCCTGATGTGGCCGATAATGTGGCTGACAAATTCCCCATGCATGTGCACAGCCACAGTGCAGCACGTAAGCAGCGAGGAGCACAGACTGGCAGCATGGAGAGCTGCATGCAGCTAGTAAGTCTGTTGTGGTGGAAGGGGAGGGGGGAGG